GTATATATATAAAATAAAATATTATTTTCCAGTGGTTACTATGTTTCTAGTTGTGTTTGGGCACAACATGGACAATACTTTACAGAGCCTGTGGAGACACAAATAGGCAATTAGATGTTCTAGTGGGACATACAGAGGCTTTTTCTCTAAATGTATTTAGGAAACAGGCTTTGTGAAACAAGAGGGTACATTGTCATAGATGCATCTCCACAATGATGGGCATAGAGTCATGGTATGTACAAGAGTGTGCTAACTCTCTGGACTAGCACCTGGAAAGAAGGTATGGCTTTCAGCAACAATAGCTACACCACAACCCCATCAACCACTCCTTACCACCATCTATGGTGGTCATGCTATAGGGAAACTCTGTATTAATACCATTACCTGTATGATTTTTTTCCCATTTAAGGATGGGAAATTTATTGAAGCTTCAGAACCATGGAGCTCAAGAAGGAGATCATCCTATGATGTCAGAAAGAACTAGTTGAGGGGGCCTTTTTGGCTGGTTGGGAATGTGAACTATAGGGACTGTGGCCAAGTTAGCAACTTGTGTGAATCATCTTCATGTGATTGTATTTCTGGGTAAGCTAGCTAAGGAAAAGATCCAGCCCCATGATGAAGCATTGGGAGCACATGGACCTACTTCTGGATTTTTTTTTTAAAAAGTTGGCATTCTATAAAAATCTGCCTGCAGAAATCACACATGCTGGACAGGAAAGATGCCTCTTTGTGGTGTTATTAGGTTTGACTTGGAGGGTGATTATCTTACCCATTGTGGTCTGCATATAGACATATCACTTGACTAATTATTTATGAGAAAGAGGAATGTGTAAAGGATGATCTTTATTAATCTCATAATAACTTTAGAGTTTGGTATTGATCAAAAAAGGAAATTAATACTCAGAAAGCCTATGTTTAACCCTGTACTGGACATGGGATTAATATATATGGGACATGTTTCTGGGCCTGGTATCTATATTTAGTCCAAATTGTTTAGTTTTGTTTGTGAGAGGGAAATATTCCACAGGTAAGGAATGTTGTTTTTTCAGGCAAGCATCTGTCCCTCTGATTGATGCTTCAAGTCACCCTATTCTTAATAAGGCCAAGGAAAGTATTTGTATCCCTTGGTGAGGAAGTAGTTGAAATACAACTTCGGGGCATCATGACAAAGTGGGCTACAGTACAGCATGGATAGCCATAGCCACTGGAACCATGATGTGGCAGAGTGTGATGCCTCTTCCAGTCCAGCTCTGTTTTGAGAGGCAATATAAAGCTGATCACATAGGCAGTGGACTGGTCTGCTAAGTGCACAGTGATTTGATTCAGAAAATACTCCTAGAGTTTCAGCCATCTTGCTCTATGCATCAGAGCAATTGGCACAGGGGAAGTGTTGTGGGTGGGGGGACAATGACTTTCAGAGAAGTAGGACTGCCAGGCACATGGATATACATGTCACAGGACACAAGAGTGGCTGTGTCCCAGGAGCTAGAGTAATTAGACAAAGAGTAGAAAGCCAATGGAGCTGGGAACATCAGAAACAAACTCATTAAACCTGGAATTTTCTTGGAATCTAACAGAACTGATTCCAGATAATAACTGATGGTATTCCCCCACCCCCCTTGTTGCTGGTGTTTTTTGTACAAGTAATCAGAAAAATGACAAACTTCTCATTGTTTTTCTGGGTGGGCTTCAATGTAAAGAGCCACTCAGCCTCTGCCTAATCAAACCTTTTGCATCAGGGCCCCCTCGGGTTTATTTCTATATCTATGAATCTGATTGTTCCCAAGAGAAGGCTAAGAGCACATACTTTGTGGGAAGCCAAAATTGCTTCAAATTGACATCAAGGACTGACCAAAGGATGAAATTAAATGTTGTCAATGACCCAGATGTTTTGAGTGGGATGGGGATGTTCATTTTCCAGTGACAGGAAAAAGTTTGGAGCCCTCCACAACTCTCTTTAGGATTCCAACTAAGTTAAAAAAAAACACTTCCTAACTTATTTGTTTTTTTAACCTTCTGTGACATTTTATTATTTAATTCTCTGAATAAAATGTTCTTCTGCAGTGTCTTTACATTCCTTTATTGTGAGTCCCTTCTCTTCTTAAATGCACTATTGATCAATTGATGCACTTGTTCTTTTTGGACTCCTTGGGAACAGTTACAAATTCATTGTTAAACTCCTAAATGGATCAAATCAATTTCCCAATTCCCTGAGAATAAATATCAAATTCCTGTCTTCCAGGATCCATAAGCAAAGAGATCACTCTCCATTAATGAAATAAGGTTTCTTTTAAGTGTTATTGCTAGTAAGAGGAAAAAATGCTCAGTTATTTTTTATAACCAAAAAAATGTTCTGAATAACTCTTTGAACCCACTGAAATCTAGCTTTCACAGATGCCTATCAAATTTCACTGATATAAAATGTCTTTACTTGGAAACTGACTAATAATAGACCATGAATATCTCTATATTTGTGTCATCAATTTAGTGAATAAATATTTTAGAGCCTTTTAAAAAATAGTTCAACTTTAAAAAAAATATTTGTTTTTTTAGTTGCAGTTGGACACAGCACCTTAGTTTTATTTATTCATTTTTTATGTGGTGCTGAGGATGGAAACAAGGGCCTTGCATGCACTAGGCAAGTGATCTACTGCAGAACCACTACTCCATCCTCTCTTTTTTAATAGTCATAAAATCAAGTTTAGTAGACTCAAGGAAATGATATGATGGGATTACAAAGGTCATAACATTGGAGTATAATAGCAAGAATGAATCTGTTGAGTCAATGCTATGTTAGTCAGCTTCCCCCTCACTATAGTAAACACCTGAGATAATGAACTTACAAAGACAAAAAGTTTTATTTGGATTTACAGTTTTGAAGATACCAGTCCATGATTAGTTGACCCTGTCACTTTAGGGCTGTGGTGACACACTGTATTAGGAGTATGAGGTAGAATAAAACTCCTCCCTCAAGGCTGGAA